AAGTAATAACGGCAGTGATACAAGTACTAATATAAGTTTTACCATGTTAGACGTCACGAACACCATTTGCAGCACTAAAACTAACAGCAGTTGTAGTAGTACTAGCAGCTGTTTTAGTAATCTTTGTAATAACTGTACCATCTATCATAAAAAACTAACACTAACAGTAAAATACTAGTTATGTTAGCGACATCAGTAATGTTACTAGTATCAGCTTTAGTATCGACTACTAGTATCGACAGTAAATATCTATAGTGCACTTACTAGCAGTATAAATGACTATGATAGCATGTTTGCAAGGTCAATATACAATTAAGGAACCATTTGTGGTACTAAGGGCAGTATTAATACCATTGCTGACACAAGTATCACAAAAAACAGTAACAGCACAAGGTGCAACATTTAAGCAAAATAATATTGTTGCGATTACTAACAGTAGTTCTATAACCGTATTTGGCATGACTACAGCGTGTGACATTAAATTTAAAATTAACACTACTGCTAACACTTACTATAAGCTTTAGTACCGTACGCAGTCATACTACTAATAGTGTATAACTTCTATTACTACCACCCAGTAGCGACAGTCGTGCTAATTACAATACCGAAACTACTAGCAGTAGAATATACGCAGTAGTGATGGCAGTTTTAAACATTTTGTTATTAGTAATGGTACTAGAATCACATATAGCTGGTAGCAACATTACTGCCACTGATACGTTTAATGGCACAATTTGCAATTTACAGCACCGGTAGCAGTACACATACAAGAAGCATGACTATTAGCCACTGTTCAAAAATCTCCGCCAGCACTTACTACAACGACTACCTTTACAGCACTAAAACTACATCTTGTATTACTACTATTGCAAGTACTGGTAGCTGTAAAGACGCGATTGTTGAACAATCAAGCGACCGAAGTTAAGGCACTTTAATCATTTTTCACTGTCAACGTTTCGGTAAAGCAACATTGACCGTCCTCAGCACCAGAAAGAACTTTTAAGAACTTTCAGAAATCATCTACTCAGGGTAAACACGTTCTGAAAACAACCTTACTTAGAAATGACGCCGATTTGTTAACGACACCGCCGTCGACGGGAAACAACTTCACCTGACTCGCGTCGTACACTTTGACGCTGAACGGGCTGTCGGCGATCACTGCGTCACCGTACTTGACGGCGATCGTGTGCACGCCTGCGAAAGTGGTCAAAAGTTAAGTAACGAAGCAACAGCCGAACGGCTCACGCCTACCGACGACCTGCGGTGTGTACTCCACTCGGTAGCCAGC